GGAATTGGGCTGCTTTTAAACTGTTGCCATGGGTTGATTTTTCCCCATGGGTTAAAGGTTTGAAATATTGCATTGATTACATTTGACTGAAATGCTTTTACTCAAACATTTTGCATTCTACCTGTAACAAAACTGTGCTAAATGTTTTGTGAAGGAGGGACACTAGTAGGAAGCCTTTGAGCGGTGTTTATGGTCAATGTGCATAACAGTGACTGTAAAATATGTATTTTAGGGATGGAAATTACAAATTTTGATATTTGGGGCATGGTCATTACGCTTTTTTGTACATCCTTTATGAGAAATGTAGGCCTCTCATGAAGACTTTACCTCCCCTACCTATACAAACATAAAGGTGCTCTTCAAGTGATTTATGGCTTATCAGAATGGACAAGGGCCATCTGTGCCATATTTAGTCATCCAGCTCAAGCTAAGAATAAAAGTCCAATATCAATGGAAAGGATGTGTCATTAAGCACAGGGGGCTGTGTTAATGCATTTTGGCTTTGATAGTTCTCTCTTCAGCAGGTTTAAGTGTTATGTTCTTTTTCTTCTTTTGGTCTGTGAGATGTTCAGATAACTAGCCTTAGTGTTCTCACTTCAGGACATTTATGATTGTTATGTGGATTTTTCAAGTGCAAGCCTGTCATTTTATTCTTTAAAATAAATTTAATGCCAAAGTAAGGACTCAGAATAAATATAAATAAAAAATTAGTTGAAATGAGTGCAGTCAGTGTGTCCGCGGGTCCTTAAAAAGGCTTAAATAACGTTTTTCTAATATAAGGCCTTAAAAAGTCTTATTGTCTTAAATTCGGATTCGATGGGTCTTAATTATTTTTGGTCACATTACCACTAAAATATCTTCAGTCTGTGACGGACCTAATGACTTTACAATCATTGGACAGACCGAAGATTTTTTTTCTTCCCCGCGGTAAGTTACTGCGTCATCAGAGAGAATTGTTAGCAGAACACAGAATACAAGCTCGCGCCGAGTCTCACTCTGTTAGTCTCGAGACTTCAGAACTTCTTCCCTGCGGTAAGTTACTGCGTCATCAGAGAGAATTGTTAGCAGAACACAGAATACAAGCTCGCGCCGAGTCTCACTCTGTTAGTCTCGAGACTTCAGAACAAATGAGCGCGACAGAACACATAAACTCGGAAGAAACACACTGATGTAAAAATTCAAAATGTTTAGTTTATTCATAACATGATATAGTTAAATAACACCATGACAAGTGAGCTATTTTGCTCAATATTCTCACGACGCAAAAAAAACATTCAAAACACCTACAGAGTGCACGCATTACGTGAAGTCAAGTGCGCGTGCGCATTTAGAGTGCGCTCTGCCTGATCACTGCATGATTCAGTCTATTAAAATTAATTCAGAATGATCACAAATTCAAGACATGGGGGCAGAAAATGTGTATATTTATACCACTTCATCTAGTTAATCAAGTTCACACGGAAGAGTGCCTTTTTTTCTCCAAAAATTACCATATACAAATGTGATATTGATTTTTTTTACAACAGTTCAATAAACTAGAAGTTTTAATAATAATAATAATTTAATAATGTATGAATTTAGCAGACGCTTTTATCCAAAGCGACTTACAGTGCATTCAGGCTATACATTTTTTTACCAGTATGTATGTTCCCTGGGAATCGAATCCACGATCTTTTGTGCTGCTAAAGCAATGCTCTACCACTGAGCCACGGGAACATTTTCATAGAAGTTTTATTAAGAGACTTACGTTTTAGACACCATATTGCCTGTTTTTGCACTATTTCGCCAACAAAAGTAATTCCAAACAAAGCCACAGCGCTGTTTTTCGTCTCTGAGCAACACGACGGTGTTTCGTTCCCGAATGAATCAACCGTTTAAATGATTCGGTTCAATCGCAATGACTCACTTAACAGTGACTTACTGCCACCTACTG